GGATCACAAAAGTAATGCTGGAGGCATGGTAAAATCTACAGCTTCGGATGCACTGCAAAAGTTCGAGTACACTCAGGTTGTGGCAAGAAAGCAGAGGCTGAGGCCAGCTGGACCTCATGCAGACATACACTGAAACATTACTGACTCTACCGTTCCAATGATATGTCCATGACGAGTCTGGGCTCCTGGCAACCGACTCAGTTCCGAGACACCTGCAACTCGGCTTCTCAAAAGCGGCGGCGTCCGCAATTTTGCCAAGACATGCAATGCGACTAGGAAGGACACCGTAGGAGATGCAGAAAGATACCATCATCGGCCTAAGGGGTGCAGCTAGGAGAGCCATCTCGTGCTAAAAGACTCAACGCAACAACCGCTGCCACAAAATGCCCTCTACAGGGACTTCTGCTGGGGCGCCAGCAGCGTCGACGAACCTGTGCAGGTAACCGCAGGTATGAGTCGGCATGAGAGCAGGTACCTTCTCTCGAACAAAGCACTGTGTTGCAAATATGTATAGTACAACAGTTCTGGAAGTATGCATTCTTCCGAGCTTTGGACTGTGCTGCTTGCATTCACCCGGCAGGGTGTCAGGCTTGCAAGGCACCTGAGACACAGGCTACTTCCATGGACAAATGTGCACATTCTGGCGTGCCTCAGCTTTCCACGGAGGCGCTTCGTGGCTCAAGCTGAGAGGAAAAGGAGCCCAACAGATGCAATTTCGCTGGCAGCTCTAGGCGAAGTCGGGACTATCACGAAGCGCATGCACTGCACATTACACCGCTGAACCTATGCTTTCAGCCTGGATAGCTCCCGGCTGGGATCGCAGCTTTGGCGACCTGCACATGGCACCTTCGAGTTGGCCTGGCCACCTTTTTGATGGGCCGGGCCTTGAGGTTGCTCATCTTACGCAGTACGGAATATTATTGCACTTTCACGTCTCAGCTGGCTCAATGGCTCAATGCCCGTCAACACCCCACATCAGCGATGCCACTCTTCGACAACGCCTCAACTGTTGGCGGGCAGTGAAGTCAATGGCACGTGGCTATCGCTGCAAACGGACTTCGTAGCGAAACTCGCAGGTCGTCAGTAGGTCGTCAGATCGGGGCTGTGGCGCGTCTGCGAGATGCGATCAAAGCGTTGATGCTGCAAATGTTTGAATGCAGCCTGTCCGACCTGTGCATTTCCCGATCTCAGGGACATCAAGAAAAAACATCAAAGCCAAAATTCGGTAAGGACATATGTAAGGACCAATGTCGATCCAGCTCGGGACCAAACGGAATGGGAGGATAAGGCTCCTTGAGCCTCGGCAGCTAAACTTAAACTTAACTGCACAGGGCCCATGGCAAAGTGTCAAGGCCGGTGCACATAGGGCATGTTGCGCATCCTTGTGGCCTTTGGCAAGCTATTGCGCCTTGCCATAGCCACTCGATGCACTACCTGCACGCCTGCATGCCTGCCTCACTGCTACAAGTAGCTGTGAAAGATCACGTTTGCTCTGAGATTCGAGCTTGGACGGTAAACGTGCCTGAAGTAGGTTCACGGACACTGAGCTGCTTCACCCTTGCCGTATCGGTCAATGCACACAAATGCAGGTCCTAGCTGTTGACCCTCATTCCATTTCAGTCAAAACTGATCTGAATTCTGCACTGCAACAACCAGACAGAAAGGTCTGGGAACATGGCGATGAGCTCAAGTGGTCCGCCTGTGTAGCCTGCCAGCGAAGTGTGCGAAGCTCGCAGGTGACTTCGTGACTGACGTCGTGACCGAGCAGCCAGGCAGGGAAGGCAATTTTTTTACGCTCGCAGTCTGGCCCGACTAACCGGCCCACTCTTGATGGGGAGCTTGGAGTGCTGTCAGCATCTGGACAAGACGAAGGTTGTCGCTTCAAATTTGCAAACTCCGGATGCAGTACTCCATGCAGCGTCTGACACATCCCCGAGCACATTTTCTAACCACACTTCAAAGCGTCATGAATGATCCATGGCCGTTCAGAGTTTAAGCCGGTGGAGCGGTAGACAGGTCCGCGCACAACACATCCATTGGGCAATATCGATTGCGCAGGGATGCCTCTAGGACCCTGGTTCAAGCGGGTAGGGAGCTCTGCCCTCAACGGCATCATCCGGCGAACCCTTGACGATCCTGCAGACACAATCAGTCACTCTTCGCCTTCGTGCGCCACCCCTTTCTAGCATTAACACGTGCACGGATGCAGAATCACGAAGTTCCCCTACACAGGGCTCTTCTGTCAAGACATTGACAAGTGGCTTGTCGACACGGAAGCGAGTGAGCTTCTGGTTGACAATCCAGCGTTTCATGTAGTGCTTCCTTCAACCAAGCATGTGCCGTTTGCATCCTAAAACAACGCATGATTCTGTGAATCCTCCTCTGGCCTTATGAATGTTCTCAATGCAGCCACGGAGCTTCTTCTTGTGTTTGAAGACAATTTGGTCTTCACCCTTCAAGTGCTCGAGGATAGTGATCTGAACAGGCTACCCATCCTCAAACCTATTGTGGTGCAACTTGCATAGCGCTCGATCGGAGTGCCTCTGCGTATGCTCCATCCACCAGTGGCTGTCCAACGCTGATCTCAAACCTCCGCTGCCACAGTGCGGAAGATGATAACTGAACGACTCAGCACTCTCTGCTGCATGCTTTCGCTGAGCTGGCAGGATTAGGCATGAATTAGTCAAAACGCTCGCCGCCACTGTTCTTCTCCTTCAGCAGCAGGACACGATTCAATCGCACCTGCCACAAGCAGGCCCTGAGTGATTAGCTGGTGGGCAAGCGCTTTCCAAGGACATGAGCACAGCAAAATCTGGAATGCCCGGACTTCTGTAGACTGGTTTAGGACTCGATGACAGCCTGTGCACTCACTGGCTTCGCCCACCTTCGAGCCAGGAACTGCTCGAATGAAATAGGTCTCGTACATGCCCCCCTCAACGATCATGTGCTGCCGGCCAGAGTATTCCACCTCGAATTTATTTCAGTCCCTCATATTTCTGGCAACGTCAGTACTATGAGCCGATCCCTAAACTACCCCCCGAAGCCCGACATGAAAGGGCCTCAACAAGCCAACAGTTCACACCCAGGACAGGACGACTCGGAACGACAAACAAATTGCATACAGCCTCAGTGATCCCTGCCACTTCCGAGCCATGGCACTACTGCATACTCAAGATGCTCGGCTGACGGCGTCAAATGTCGCCTCGCGCATATACACTCGTCAGGGCTGAAGAAACATGACAAGACATGATATGTACATATTGTATATATATATATGTACACACACACTCTTTTTTATTGGTGTGTTAGCTTGTCTGGTACTGTCTCGTGATGTCTCATGCTGTATTAAACTACATCATACTGTACTATGTTATCTCATACTACCTCAAAGCATATCGTGTCATATCATAACTTTATCATATTGCCATTTTTCTTCCAAGACATAATGTTGTTACTGTCGTTGGTAAGTTCAACATTTTTAATCGGTACATTGCCATTCTCTCTGTTTGTTCATGCGTTCACGCACGAACATCACCGGGACAGTGGATGGGGCTTCACAAAAATCGTGAATAAAGCATACCGATAATAGAAACATAAATTTAAGGATATCAGGATGCAATAAACACCGAGCATAACATGTCATAAATTATGCTGCACATGTTGACTGGGATTGGTTCTTGAAGCAAAGAAGAACAGGCGATGTGTTAGGGCTCCGGCGCTCGCAACTGCGGTTCTTTCACTGTCGTTGATGCCAGTGCAACCAAGGTGCTGCTTGATGCTCATCAAGTCCTGCACGCTGAGTTTTCAGGGCATCTGCTGCACGGGTGGCATTGCAGGGCTATTTGGCATGCACCTGAGCACAGTACATAAGCAATCTGCTCCTCTGGGGGTTCTGCCAGCGGCGCTGTAGAGTACGCACGTGCTGCCACCTGAAACGCGACCCGGACAAACCGGCTTCCGTAAAGCACCGAAAGCATGCAGAGTTCCCGCACCAAACCAGGCTCGCTGGGGCTAGGCAGATTCAGTCTGCCTCGGTCAACAAGCAAGGCCGATAGGATTCACGACAATGAGCGCGGAAACCACGCATGGCCTTCGTGAACCCGGCACATATTTTTTGCTTTTGCCGAGGTGCGCTGGTTGACACGGCCCTCTCCTGCCTGTGCGCCCGTGAAAACTGTGAAGCAAGAAACCTTGGTGGAATCGACGAATATTTCCTATCATTTCCTATTCATCCCATGTGATTCAATGTATGGCTCACCTCTGATGCCCAGCAGCGGGCCTAGCGGGCCTAGCTTGTTGAAATAAGACTGTGATGGAGATGGGAGGGAGACGTGGCAAACAGCAAACACTGGCCCCAAAAGGTTCCGGCTGATAGGGTCGCTGCGGCGGCTGCCAGCAACAAAGCAAGACCGCAGTGCGGGTGTCTGGCCGAGCTGTAATCAAACGAGAGGTTGCCAGCATTCGGCATTGTGAACTGCATGCCGGTGCCTTCTTGACATGCTTCCAGCTGGCATGGCTCAGCGGGATTGCAAACTGCCCGCTGGCCTAGTTCTTCAGCTGTGCCAGACTTGCGGATGAGCATCGGGCAGTGTTGCCAAGAATGCACATGCAGCAAGAGCTTGAAGACACTCCACACCCCGGCACAAAGCGCATCTCATGAGCCGAACAATAGAAGGAAAATTAAGCCGCGTGCTGCAATACCCTTGCGTACCGAATGCTTTGAGACTAAGACATAATGCTTATTGCCGCCTAATTATGAGGAGTTAAAGACCCCTAAACCGCATCAACACCAGCCCCTCTTCAATTTCAGGTCTTCGTGAGAAAGTTTGAGTTTTTGCAGACCCTTCACCCCGTGTTCCCATTGTCCTCAACGCTCTTGCTTCTTGACGAAACACTATGCGTGGACTGCAACAGCGCTTTATCGTCCATTCAAGCGCGGCAATAGCACAAGTGCTGCATGCTCAACTGAGCTGCTCAACCCTGTGGGAAGCAACCGAATGAGCATCAAACAAGAGCCTGCCTCGAAGCTGCTTCACAAACATAGTCCAATCAGCGAACTGGCGCAATTTGGGTACAGGCTGAGGGTGGCTTGCCTCCTTAGTTGTAACGCTAATAAGCCTTTAAATCTGTGTTGTAAGGTCTAGTCTATCTAGTCTGCAAGGTTCTTTTGGTGACAGGTAGTAAGCTATGCTCAATCCACAAGCTAGCAATGCATCGAAGATGCAGTTGCCTGCACGGTCGAGTTCTCAGCACCTGAACTGGAGGCGCTGGTCGGATCCTTGCAAGCATCTCTCCTACTGCTTGGTGGCATCCCATACCGCGTGCACGGAACATGAACGACTCATCTGATGGCGATGTGGCGATATCGTCCTCTTCGCATGGATTCCCGACATGTAAGGCAACTTGTTGCGGACCTTGGACCGCGAGCTCCAGTCGAAACAACATTGGAAACCGCAGTGCAAGCCTGCTCCTCCTTTGATGCTATGCTCTTCCTGGCGTCTTGAATCTGAATGCAACGAACATCATACACAACGGCATCCAGATAGGCAAACCATGGCAAACCGATCAGCCTTCGCATCGCCCTCATCACCTGCATGACATTACTTGGCCGTCTNNCCCCCCCCCCCCCCCCCCCCGCAAGTTCCGTTTGCTGACTTCAAAGGCTGGAAAACAGTGAAGGCGAATTTTGCCGCTTGCACATGTCGCCCGAATCTCTTGCATGCATCTGCATGTTGCAGCAGGACCTTTTGGTGTCGACGCGTCCTCGCACTCAGAACCACCTAGCACGATTCTGGACCTGCAAATTGCAGAGCCGCTGCACGTTTGCACAGACCGAGACAAGTAGATATCTGCGCGACAAACGCGGTTTAGTCAGAGACGGTGAATGGTACTGTGGTATGCAATTCGCGCCGCAGCACTCGTGCCACTGCTAGGGCGGGATCACCCGAACTGGGCCTCGGGTGATGCAAAACACATGGCATGGTGCCATATAAAACTGTCCTGTCTATGTCGAGTCGCCCCATTCGGTCAGCGGCCACAGCTTTAAGCGTACCTTTCCTTGCAGAAGTCCGACCTGAATCTCTGTTCACATCTTTGCACAACATGCACTCGAGCTTCGCCAGTTTGAGCTTCCGACAGGAACTGGACCATAGTGTCTGGAATCGTGGGAGGCTGCCTTGTTGTCGCCCTCCAACCAAACATGCCCTCGAGGAATGAGCACCCTGGGCGCATCGTCGAAACGAATGGCATGAGGCATGAATGTGAACGAAGACGAGATCGCACTGCATCCAGGCAGCTCCTTCTCGCCGATGTGACTCCACACCTTCACCTCAGAGTCAACAGACCGACAGATCTGCAGCATGCCCTTCGACTTGCTTGGACGCATGTGCTCAATTTTGCGCGACAGCAGAGACCAGCACCCTGTCTCCCTGCAGACCAAGGATGCGTTTGCCTGGGCGTGTCTGCTTGCAGCTACCCAACCCAACGACAAGCTTGGCGGAAGCGAAAGCAACAAGCCGAACTTCTCAGGTCAGCATGAGTTGGGTAAGCAGGAAACATATGCGCCCATCCGGATCTTTCGGCGAGGTGGCGACCACGACCTGCCAATCTATTCCCGTCCTATTCGGGCCAGAAAGAGCGACTGAAATCTTGCCAGCACAAGTTCAGCTATAGCCCAAACAACTGCAGACAGGGACTTGCCGGCGATTGGCTCTGTAACAACTGACACGCCGCTTAACTGCTCTTGCCGGCGTCTCGTGATAATATTCGTTTCAACCGTGATTTCAAGCTGCCGAAACTCCGCTACGAAGTGTAACCTTCGAAGGACATCCATCACCCAAGCACACTCACTCACACAAGCATCCAAGAGAAGCATCCGCTTCCTCGAGTCGGGACAGCCTCCCCACGAGACCAGCCAGCCAATCTCTGTGTCAGTCGCTCATAAAGAAGAACATCCCCGGAGGCATTGAACACTGGCACCTAGACAAGGACACATCGAAATCAGCTGACAGAACGCAGAACACACTCTCCATGATCCAAAGTTGCTAACCATCAACTCTTCATTCCAAGCTGCCATTGATGCTCCGACTGTGGTTGAAAAGTCAATCCCGTACTCCTGTGTCAACACAGGCTCACCTACCCACAAAAGCCGGTAGACGTGTCAACTGTGCAGACCTTACCTGGACGCAGTGCAGCAGTCCAACAAGCTGCAGCCAACGTACTCCGAAAACGCCAGCTTCACTGACGAGGGGCCTAGGAGTCGGAGCTAAGCATTGACAGTCAAGGTTGCGGATTCAAGTTGTTTCCTGCCAGGACTGCCAGGATGCAAGACTCACAGCTTCTCGTTTTGCAACGCAAGCATTTAAATTGGGTAGGCATTTGTGCGGGCGGAATCGGCATGACAAGCGAAAGAATCACCACCGCTCGCAGCGGCCACTTGACTTGACATCGGACGTTGCCACGCAATATCAGACAAACTGGACCAAGCGCGTTGGCGCGTACGTCACGTGCTCCTACCTTGTCCAGGTCCCGGAGTTCAGTTCTGTCAAACGTAAAACCTTGTCAGACGAACTCTAGGATGCGGCGAGGACTTCAAGATCCAAGACCCGGAAGATGTAGAGGCGAGTGTGTGAAACTGCAAACGAATGTTTTCCGGCCAGCTAAAATCGCACGGCCTCAACACTCGCACCTCCTCAGGAGGAGCTCTTGTTTTAAAACCGTGCCCTGCGAATCATCCAGACACGTCCGGATCACTCGAAGCCACTGAAATCACTGACTCCCCTTGCTGCCCGTTCGCGCACCCTTCTTGCGACTGTGTGGGTGCCAGTGCTTACCTGACCGTAGCAATGCTAAAGCCCTGGAAAGAGCCGCTGCGAAGAACTGTTGAAAGGTGGACTCTCGAACTTCCAGAGGAGAGAAGCTGTCCACGCCGCTTCTGTTGATCAGCTCGCGGAGCTCTCTGAGTAGCTCCGTGTCAGACAATGGCTTGGTGCCCAACTCTGCAGCCAGTCGGTTCTCCACGCGCCGGATCTTGGCCTTGTCAAGGAATCCTGCTGCCACGTGGTCGGCTTTGAAAAAATAGGCCTTGGCTTTGTACCTCAGCCACTGATCATTATCTAGGAGGGCTCGAGCCAACTCGGGTGAGAGAACGTCCACGAACAAACCACCACCAGGAAGGCTGTTTGCACTTTGGTGGCAATCCTGACAGAGTATAAAATTGCATCGCTGGCACTGCGAGGCCGTGCAGGAGTTTGACATCGCACGCTGGCAGACGCTGCAGACCTTCTGCATCAAACTGGGCCACCAGGCATAGCCCTCCTCTGGCTTAAGTAGGTGACCCTTGGTGCATGCAGCATGGGTCGGAGTACTTCGCGGTCTCCGCAACACCTTGCGTGCTTGTGCGTGCCTGATTGCAAGGCCTGCCCGGAGGATGTGTGCGGCTCCAGGCTCTTCCTCCAAGATGGGATAGAACTGCCTTAAGGGAACCCCCGTTTGGTGGACCATTTCCCAAGACGAGGGCGACAACTCCTCGGCCGTCGTCGGTCTCAAACATCTGATCGCAGCTGTTCGACGGCCGCTTCCTCCAGTCTCTATGAACAGGAGCCTCACTGCCCGCGGCCGATCAATGAAGCGATGTCGGTGCATGACAATATCTCCTGATTGAAGACGACAGCGCCACTCTTCTGTCAGGTCATCTACGCGGCTGACTGCTTGGGGCAATTCATCCGCTCCAGCAGAGTTTAGCGCATCTCCGAAGCCGCCCAACCAGCGGTTAAGGACCGGTCTCAGAAACCGAACCAAAGTAGCATCCTGGACCCATTGGGGCTGCATTAAGACATCATCGGGGAGCTGCTTGCCATGAAGCAGAAACTGCGCCAACTCGTTCGCGAAGTGATTGCAATTGCGGCGCAGTACGTCATAGCTTCTGGGATTGTAGTCCACATACAGGTCTTCCTTAAGAAATTCCACCATGTCTTCGTAGGTGCGAAGAGTAGTGCCTAATCGGATAAGTTGCTTCGGAACTCCGAAGGGTACATCCTCGTACTTCGACTCCAAGATCACGCCACCGAACCAGAACTCCTTGCCGAACACACGAAGCCCAGAGTGCCAAATGCCGTCCAGCTGGTGGCCACCAAGCAGCGAACCGGGAATCCACTGTGCAACACCTTGAGAAAGGTCGTACAGTACCAGTTCGACAACGGATGCTTTCAAACCCAGGGCATGCGCGAGAAATTCGTAGTAACTGAGAGACCATGGAGAACCATCCTCCTCTCTGTCTTCGAGAATCTCGTCAGGCGGTTGGCTCATACCGACTGCTTCAAAAGCTGCTAGCCACTTCTCCTGGCGAAGCAACCCATCGCCAGTAACGTCTGCAGCTTCGAAGGCTGCGTGCAGACGGCTCAGGAGCTCCGGATCCTCCTCAAGCGACTTCCGAAGATGTCGGTTCAAGTGCTTGGCAGCCACGTGACTCGGAGCCGAGGCCTCGGCACACAGTGAGACACATCCATTCACATTCATATTGCATGTGCACACCGCGAAAAAAACCGTGAGTTGCAGGCAGCTGAGGCAGCCACACGCAGGAGCATGAAGTGCACCCACTCGTCCATCCCCAGTCCTTGCTGCCCGGCACCTGAATGCAAGTCCATCTCCGAAAAGCGGCATTTCCTTGGGTTTAGCGAAGCTCGCAGAATCACGTATGCAGAACATGCAGTGGTTAAAGAATAGCCTGAGCTGTCAACCTTGCATAGGAGCAAGCTGAGTGGCACCACCTCGCCAAGTAGTTCCAGATCCTCGCTGCCCAAGGACCCACTGGTACGCTCCAGCAGCTCTTTGATGTGATCGAAGAGCTCCTCCCTGGTGAAATGACCAGATCCATCGGCATCCACGTTACCCAGGAAGTGTCCACGTAGAAGGCAAAGAATGCTAACCTGTCCTGGCGGGCTGAGCGGGCTCCTGTTACTTTTGGCAGGGCTGGATGTCGCTGAACCTTCCGGCGTTCGCCATCCACGCGACTTTCCCGAAGCTGGGCTTACACCGGTCGGTGACGGTGGAAGCAAGCTAGCGGTCCGATGTGACCAGTGCGAACGCGCAGGAGATGTGGGTTCTGGCACGACGGTCGTGTCAAAACCGCCTTCCGACACATCCAACAAAGCGCTCATCCAAGTGTTGAGGGTCTTCCGCTTTTTCTCTGTTCGATGCAGCTCTTGCTCAGGAATCTCGTTCGACTCTTGCGACTCGGAATCCTCACCCGGGGTCTTCCAGCGCACATGCTGCTTAGAACTCTGACTTCGTCCTCGTCGGACCTGCAGGTTATCTATCTCCGAGATTTGCTGGTCTTCGTCAAGTTGACTCACCTTCTCCCCGTCCGAGGAGCTGGAAGACAACTTCGGCCTGATGGGCTGTGACGGCTCAGCGATGGAAGACTCATCGTCGTTGCCCAAGATCTCGACGACTTCCAGAGGTGGAGGAGTCTTGACCAATGAGCTGCAAGTCTCTCGTGTTCTTCCTGACAGCAAGCTTGGGGTCAAGAGGCGACCACGACCGCGACGCTTGCTTGGTGATGGTGACGGAGAGAGTGTGTCTGTACTCCCACAATAACATCTCGATAACGACGACCACAAGCTTAGTCTCTCGGTCCCTGTGCAGCAAACATTGTCACTGCTTCCGCCTTGCAGCTCTGAGCTGACGGAGAATGACTGAAGAAAGCTTAGGTGCGCCGTTCCTCCTTCTTGGGAGAAAGCCATCTCTGCCGGGGGCTCGAAGCATCTCTTTGCCTCCGAGCCTAAAATTTGCGAGAATGAGCAAGATCGTGAAAACAGCCACCTGCCACAGTCAAGAACACACCTCTGCAATGGAGACTACAGCTCGTCTCCGCTAAGTCTGCGACCATGCGCTGCCCTTTACCCACGTGCCAAATTTTCTGAACATGGCACATTCACACAAAGTGCGCTTATCGGGTTAGCTCTGGTGCGTGGCGGCTACGTGGTGTCGCCTTTGGAACCTAGGGCGGCTACAGCAGTAGCCGTGTTGAATTCCAAGCTGCTCAGGCTTCTCGGGGTAAATCTCAAAGAAACTCGCCCAATATGCATGCACATTCATTGGCTCCATGTGACATGTCGAGCCCACGCTTCCAACACGCATGCTTTAGGCTTTAGAGCATGAGGCTCGGGGCCAGTCTTATGCAGCACCCCAAAGCTGGACCATGTTCACAGCGGTATAACCAGCGCTGACTGCAGCTGCACGGCCTCCGGCTGGGTGTCGTTGCCGGACAGAAGTCCTGCAACTCAAACAGGGAAATTTACCATTTCGAGAAAGCACACACTCCAGGCTCAGTCCCAGACGGCTTCAGCAAGGAGCTGATGCAGGGAGCAGACTGAACAGGGAACAAGCATTGTGATTTCAGATCACTCTTTACAGCCCTCGGGCTGAGCAGTACAGCAAACCAAAACCCACGCCGGACGGCTTGAGAACATCACTGAAGAAGTCGAGCTGTCTTTGCTGCGATCAAAACTAAAGATGGTGATCTAACAGAAGCAATCAAAACTGAATGGGGGTTTGCCTCCGGACGTCGAAGAGCTGGCCCGGCTCTTGACCTCAGGGCATCGGGTCACTGCATGTTCAGTCAACCAACCAAACACACCCCGTGTGGTCGCCTGTCCTCATTTCCAGGCGTGATTCTGTGCCAGTTTTCCTGTGAGACGTATGACCTGTGATCGATGTAGTACTCGCTCCGAACATCCGCCGGACAGAAACATAGGAAGTAGCTAAAGCCTTTTCGATGGTGACTGCTAACACCCCCTGCAGTCGGCGTCGGAACGTTGGTCCACCTCACTGCCAGCCCCAGACCCAGATCATATACGCTGCAAAGCCAACACCGCAACCTTGGCAGCTAAAGCGCACTCCGGGCAGATGGCTCAAAACGCCAGAAATGGAGGTTTGCTCTCTTCGAACTGTCTCACTTCTTGACCTCCATCTTGTCAAGCTCCTCTTTTAGCCGCTTCTGGAAAGAGTCGTCCTGTGAGCAGCACAAGCGGGAGCCGAGCAGAATTGCAATTACAAAGCGGGAATTCTGAGAGTCACATGCGATCGTCACGGCCTGATCCTCATCGTCCCACCCGGCATCATCCCAGTCTTCTTCCCATTGCTTGGCCTCAGAAGTTCCAGGAGCCGGCGTCTCCTTGGCTCCATGTCAACAAAAAGGCGCAAGGGCTGTTCACCCTCGCCTCTCACCGCATGTCGATTGCACTTCCTGAGCTCTGCGCCCAATCGGGATCTTCGAATTCTTCGAACTCATCCTCTTAAGAGCTGCGAGGTTGCAGAGATCAGGACGATGCAACAGGCAGGTGCTAGAGGATCCTCTTCGTCCAAAAGACCGCCCGATTCCTTGGGCTTTTCTTCCGTGGCCTCCTTGGTCTCCTTCGGCTTCCTGTCGGAACATCATACCACATCCTACAAAGCGATAACTTCATGCAGAGACTTGGCACATGCGACAGATCTCCAGGCAAGCGTCTCGTCTTCAGGCATGTTTGCCGCGCTGCGGTTGCAGTCTAATTAGTCTGCAAGGCCACTAGCTTGGGCCGGGAAACACCGCGCACGTTTTGCTCTGTCACGCAAGGAGAACATGGCTTCTTTCGTTGCCAAACATGCTGCCTGTCGTGTCCAGGCAGTGACAGTGCTCTGGGACTGTTGCGAATGCCGGCGCAACGCAGCTGAGGACACCTCAGGCCAAGCTGCAAAAGCAATGGTTCGAGAATTAACTTAGGAGTTGCTCTATGTTTTGCATAGTATCTCCCCTGCCCGTGCTGTTTCAAAGCCCTGCCAAGCTTCAAATGAAGGATCTTGTGGCGTCGCGGGCAGGGTTAAAGACGATAATTTGTCCTCGCCTAATCAGGGTGCGGGTTTGAGAAATATTATCCTCCGGCATCGCCCAGCCGCGGGTCTGACAAAAGGTGCAACAACCGCAATCGCCAAACGACGGGGGGAGCTTACGAACTGTGCTGAAGCTGAGACGTAGGATTTTCCCGACATTTGCCGAACACCCCTAACGAGCGGCGATGACCGGGATGCATCATACTGCTTTCGAAGGTCATGATTGTTTGGGTGTTGAGCCTTGGAGACGAGACGAGCTTTGGGCGTGAAGGAGGGCCGAGGGTGGGGGAGGGTTCAGGCTGCACATCTTCAACACGTCCCCTCATAGAGCGATGGTGGTTGATCACGTCTCTTAAACACGACCGCGGTTGACCACGTCTCTTAAACCTGCCAGGCATGACTTCAAAGCAAGCTTTGCAAGGTTTTGCAAAGGCGATGCTGGAGAGACCCACTCGCACAGGTTTTCTGCGTCCTGCACCCCCTTGAAAAGGCATGTGGCTTTTGATCACAAACTTTGCAATGCGTAAAGACAATGCGCGTGGGTCGGGCGGAGGTGCGGGGGGAGCCGCTGCAAATCACTGCTGAAGGCAACAAACCGGAAAGCAAGAAGCAAAAGCGGAAAACAGCTACTGCAAAAGAATCCAAACAGCGGAAGGCAAAAAAGCGAAAAGTGATACAGAAAAGCAACAAAGCAAAAGCAGTGCGCAAAAAAAGCGGATGGCAGAAAGCGAAAAGCAAAAGCGGTAGAACGCTCAGAGCTGGAAAAAGGAAGCAAAAGCAGCAGAAAGCGAAAACGGGAAGCAAGGAAAGGAGCACAACACAATTAAATACAACAAGCAGAATAAAGTATAAAAGAGAAGGGGCAAACGGCACAAGACGAAAAGCGAAAAGCAACTTCAACGAGAAGGCCAAACGAATCCCAATACAAATGCCAAATCCTTAAACGAGATTAGACGTCTGAAATGACTCTAAAAGCAATATGCAACCTTTCGGCGCACCACGCGAACCGAACAACGAACTGAACATCGGCCGGGCACCTTCAGATTTGACCGCCAAGCTGGCCACGAAGCCGTGTCCCAACCTATCAAGAAGCGCCACTGCCGCAAGATGCGCCATCATCACGTGCGTGCGTCCTGGCCTTCTGCAGGCTGCTCGTTCCCGGCGCAGACCTGATCTCCGAGTTTCGCATCGATCGAACGGCCGCCCGCTGCAAGATGACCTAGCAACTCACAGTCAGAGACAAGGTTCCTGCTACTAGTATTGCGTGAACCCGGGAAGGGACCTCAATTTTGGCGTAATTCTACCTGAACACTGCGAGGCGGGCCTTTCGGGCTGATGAAGTCTCTGCCAGCTTCCTCGCGGACCTGCCAGGCGGATCAACATTGAGTGTGAAGGCAACAACAACAACAACAACAGCAGTAACCATGACAAGTGATGCAGAGCAGCAATCACAAGAAGTGGACTTGGTTCTCGGCCGCATGCTCGTAGCGACGCAAAGGCCGACCAGGAAATCCAGGCGGTCCTCGAGCGCAGGATTGCAGATGTGACTTTGCGTTAAATTCGAAACGGAAGGACAAACTCAGAAAAACACAAACTAGTGAAACTAGTGGCACAGATTCAGAAACCGCTTAAGAAAACTGTATTCGGCGAAGTCTGGCAGACGTTCCCAAAACAACACAGACGAGTCAGGCAAACAAGCAAAAGCTCGGATATATAGCTATGTATGTAAACGTATGCGAACCTGCTTGCACATGTATGCATGCATGCACGCATGCACTTTCTCTCGCACACGGACTTGCTCACCTGTCAGCTGTATGTATGTGTATAGACACGATAGCCTATTCTATTGCGTTCTTCTGTACATCAACCAAACAGAAATAAGTGAATTGAATTAATTAACAAGCGTAGCTTTCCGTGACATGAACTGTAGATTTTAGAAGTTCACGGATAAACAAAAATGCAAGATGTTTGTCTGTGTGTGAATTGTATGCATGCATGCATAAAACACAGACGCATACATACATACATACATACATACATACATACATACATACACACATACATACATACATACATACATACAGACATACATACATACATACATACATACATACCTACACGGATGCCTATATGAGCCTATATGTATATATATATATCCGAATTTGCCATCGGCTGTCTTTCGGCTTCGCAGTCTTCAATCTTCATGGTTGCAAGTGGCGGGGGCAACCCAAAATCCAAGACGCGCAAGCATGCTGCACTCAACACGGCAATAAGGAGACATGCTGTGAGCAAAAAAGCTCATCGTAAAATTTCAATTGGGGAGCCGGTGCTTTTCATCCGCGCAAACTTGTTTCAGGGACAGCACGCGATCAAGAGACACACGATCAGTTCTTTCCAAGTTCGTCATACAGTTACCGTGTCTCACTTAGAGGAGTTGCAACCACCCCACGTTTGACAGAGAAATTCTACGCCCTGTATGCGCGTTGTGCTCTGGGATGGCTTTAATGAGGCATCGAAAGCGGTCGTACAAGGGAATTGAAACGGTTGCGTCGTGTTAGTCTCAGTATGAGATGAATGTGACGTTTCACGGGGCGGCTACACAGGGTCTGGCAAAGGTTTTCTTTAACACAGAGCTTCCGAATCACATGGATTTCTAATGAACGGTGTCAAGGGGGAGAATCCTTGCTTCCCTGGAGTAGCATTTGAGGGTTGTCCAAGGGTGTAACACTGTTGTTTGACGCAAGTTTGCACGGTTGAAAGGAGCCCATAGAAAGCTTAGAACCCTGACAGCCCACCCCCAAAAAATGTGGGGCACTCAGAAATAATGATACAAAATACTGATACATAACCATGTAAAAGTCATTGAAAACTGAAAATGATAGAAATTATTGACCCTTAGAACTGCCCAAGCCTAAACCCAGTATATACGCCCCTGAAGCCACAGTGCAAAAACACGTAACTAAGCCGTCTGATAAGGCACACCAAAAACACCGAAACGACTCCAACACCGCTCGAAAAAACGCAAACCCAGGTAGAATGCGACATAGTGCGACCACACG